AGTGAGATTTCAAACGAATTTACAGCCTCCATTTTCATGGTTTAAGAGTAAAACAAGCAAGAAAGCAGCAACAAACATATGGTAATCCTGAAATCCAATACAGAAAATGTTATGATATTATGACGCATTTCTAGGCAACGGTTAGCTAAACATGTTCCCAAGCACTGTGCTGTCAACAAGAATACACATCTGTTGCTGGACAATGGGTTTGGTTACCACAGGATTACAGGTGTATCCGGGACAATACAGACATGAACAGCAGTATTGGAACCCTTGGGGGCAGAGATCTCTATTAGATTCTCCAGGATTTTATGAAAGGCCATGCATTCGTCAATATTCAGAGTATTCAGCAGTTGAAGCGTTAACCAGATAAGACTCATGACTATGCAAGCAGACTCTTGACGACTTCATTTTATGTGTTATAATTATGGCAATCTTTAGAGTGTTATAATAAACTGTAGTTATGACTTGTGAGTGTCCAATAAATCTATTCACCAATCCAAATTTTGTCTTCAAGTCACTAAAACAAATGACAGCCAAGTATTATGTACTGGTAATATCTTTTTAAAGCTTTATACTAATGTCATAATATACAGGAGAGGGACAAAATAATGGAAATAGTACAGGTACTGTATACATTTCTTTATTAACACGGTGTTGGACCACCTTTAGCCTCCTTCTAAGGACTCAGAATGGACTCATACAAGTTTTGAATAGTCTCCAGTGGAATGTTACACTATTATTCTTAAAAAAAAAAAAAAACATCTTCAGGTTGCTTTAGATATGTTTGAGCTTGGAATCTGTTCCTCACTCTAGTCTCCAAAACTGACCAGAGTGGTTCAATGTTGTCCAAATCTGGTGATTGTGCTGGCCAGGGAAGATGTTGAAGTTCCTCTTCATGCTCTTCAAACCATGACTAAACTGTTCCAGCTGTGTGAATGGAGGCATTGTCATCTTGGAAAACTGCATTATTGTTCAGAAATAATGGGATGCACCTGATTACACAATCTGTTCATGTACTCCCTTGCATTATTTCGGCCATGAAGGGTAACAATGGCACCTACAAAGAGCCACGATATTGCTTCCCAGACCATAACAGAACCTCCCCTGTTTCACTGTTGTAACCAAACCAGGCATTTCAGGTTGTAGGCTTCCGTGGGTGTTCTCCAAACATAAACTCTTCCTAATGTAGGAAACAGCATGAAGGAAAACTCATCTGATCATATCATGCACGTGTTTCTAGCTGTCTGATATGCAGGTTTATGAATCCGTGCATTACTTTCATTAATCAGAGGTTTAGCAATCACAGCCCTACTGTGGATGTTGGATATGTGAAGCTCACATCGGGCAGTTTTTGTGGAAACAGGATCCTCAAGATGAATATTCAGTTCTGCTGTCACCTGTGTTGCAATAATTCTGTGATTTTTCGAAACAATCCTTCTCAATATATGACTATCTCCTTCTGTCAGTGTTATTTTTGTTTACTGTTCTTCTTTGCTGATGTCGTCTTCACATCATTTGTGCATACTGACATAACCTTAGAAACTGCCGCTCTCAGTACCCCCAATAATGTGGCAGTTTTTGTCACAGATGCTCCAGTTAAGTGCACACCAACAATCTGACCTTCAAAATAGGACAAGACTCCCGCTTTTTTATTCTTTCACATGTACTGTCACTCAATACAATCACTAATGCATTAACACAAGCACTACAAAGTGTATCCTTTAAGAGCCTAGCGACACTGTATGGAGACCTTTAAAGTGTAGCCGAGTGGCCGTGTGAAACCATATGGGTACGCACAGTCCACGTCTGTGCACACTGTTTTAAAATCTAATTTTAAGATAGAAATTCTTGTTCTACTTATATTATTTTTGGGCATCCGCTTTATAAGTAGACAGTCTTCCCTCCTGTGTCATCTAACTGAATGCAGAGTCCGACGTTGCAATTCATGCACTTTGTCTGGATGTAACTCCGTTTCCTATGCGAAGAGCACACACGACACCTCAGTCTCATATTAGAGGAACTCGGCCAGTGATGTCGAGTGGCCTCCTCTAATTGTAATGCTTATAAAACATCGCAATTTCAACTATCCACCATGGCCTCATTTCGCATGGAAGAAGCCAAAATTGAGAGGCCGCTGATAAATGACACCGATGCAGAATGTGGTACAGACAACTCTGAAAGTGGCGAGGAAGCAATGGGGCAATGCAGGGCTTTTCCGAGAACAGTACCTCTGTGTGACTAGTCCGAGATATACACAGTCAGAGTTTCTGAAGGACAAAGTACGATAAGACTTCGCCCACACTCGTGCATACAGAAAGGTTCCGACATGACTGGAGAATGTGCAATACAAACATAAACTTTCACCCCTTTTGCCAGACAAGACATAGTAAGACAGGATGTCAGCAGCATTCACTTATACTGCAGAAACTTCTTTTCACATGCAGCAGACGGTTAGAGTTGAAGTTGAGGTACTGGCCAGTGTGGGTGGGTTTCCTGTAGACTTTGGTGGTCAGTGTCACCTCTACCTTGCTGACCAGCATATCGAGAAAGGAAATTGCACTGTCTGATTCTGTTTCCATGGTGAACTGGATGGAAGGCCTTAAACTGTTGAGGTGGCTGAGGAAATCCTGTAACTGTTCTGGACAATGAGGCCAGACCACAAATGTGTCATCAACGTACTGGAGCCACAGCAATGTTTTATGTTGTGCCAATTCAAGACCCAACTTCTCAAAATGCTCCATGAAGATAATGCTCACAATGGGTGATAGGGAACTTCCCATAGCCATGTAATCTTTTTGTTGGAAGAACTTGTCTTCCACCTGAAAATATGTGGTTCTCAGGCAAACCTCCAGCAGCTCCATGATGGCTTCTGCAGGGCAGACCGTTCTGCCAGTGTGTCATGATTCTGGAGCTTATTTCTGATGACTTTTACAGTTTCGCTGACTGGAACATTGGTGAAGAGACCGACAATATCAAAGCTAATGAGGGTATCTGAGGATTGAAGATTTACAGACTTCAACAGCTGTACAAAGTGGCCCGAATTCTTAACGAAGGATCCCGATTTTTCAGCAAGAGGACTTAGTATCTTATGGATAAAGCTAGCCAGGGCAGAGCAAGGGGAACCAATGGAACTCACTATAGGCCTCAGAGGAATGTCCGGTTTGTGGATCTTGGGAAAACCATACAAATGCAGAGCTCTGCTGTGGTGGGAAGAGTAGTTTTGTGCTTGGAAAGGAGTTTTTGTATTTTCCTCTCAATTTCAGCTGTAGGATCTTTTGGCAAGGGTTCATAACTTCATAACTTCTCTACACCTACTGTAAGCTGTAAACTGTTTGTGTACAGTTACAAAGAAATCTGTGAAATGTTTCACTGGCTGGCTGTAGCAAAATTTTATGAAAGCACACTTTTTTCATTCTTACTTACTTACCAAACCTGTGTGTGTATAGAACTACAATTTAAATAATTCTCAAGAACTTTGTGATCCTGCAAGGGGTTGCAACCCAATAGTCCAAGAAAACTTGTGGTAATGCTTCTAAATTGAATTATAGAAGTGTCTGATTCAAATCTTGACCAGGACACCAAATATACTCCAGCGAACTTCTGGGATAGTATCTCAAATTGGACACAGCCATTTCCTTCTATGTTCTCGCCATTTCTTTGTTCACTACTCACTGCAAGAATCAATTCTACAAAATGTGAGTTACTGGCCATTAATAAATACACACAAACAAATGTATATAATAAAAGAGGGTATTCAATTTTCAATACATTTCATTCATCATAGCTCTACAACACACACTCAATTCACACCACTGAAGAGATGGACTAATTCAGAAAATGTGCATGACTTAGCTACAGACAATTGAAAACCATGAATAAACAGTAAGGAGAAGCCTATGCTTCCATCTTTTCAACATGAATATGACCTACACAATGTATTGTCATGAGATAGAGCGAATATAGTCAGTGTTTGGATTGGTAATCGGATTTACTGCACACTTACACACACAACTTATACCTACAAGTAACTATAGCACTATTGCTAATTCAAGCCCACTGCAGTTCACTACAGCATGTACAAAGTCTTCTCAGTCTGCTGTGTCATCGGCTTCCAATGGCGAATGTTCCCTTCTTCTGGGTTCCTGCACTGTCCGTGTCTCAGCTACCAGCTTCTAACAGCAGCAATCCGCTAACTAACTCATTCACTCAGCAAACCAACTAACTCATTCACTCAGCAAACCAACTCACTCCACTAACTCTCAGGCTGGCTGCCATCTCACACTGACCTATTCTTCTCACTGCAATCTCAAGACTCTCTTCTAATAGTAGCTTGCTCTCGTTATATGGCCTTGGCATGGACCACACAGAGAACATTGCTTCCAACAGTTCTATTGCTGCATGCATGTCTGTTGTGGTAATTAAATAGCAATGGCCATTGTTTACAGAGCCGTTACTCAGCAGAAGCTATTGCACTGCTGCTTATTTCGCGGCCATTGCCTAGCAATGGGTCTACATGCCACAGTACTTTGTGGAGACAAGTGTATTATTTCTCAACCCATTCAGTGTAGAAATGCTGTGCTGTGTGGTATAACATAGCATATAAATGAAACACTTTGTAACTGGTGAATGTGTAGATAGACCAGTTTTCATCAAAATATTACAATATGTTCATAAATTTATAATTGCATTCTGTTCTTTTAAACAACCAATTCACATTTTACAAGTATTCATATGCTTTATAAAATCATTGATGTCCATTCCATTAATTTTCTACAAGGAACAAAATTAATTTGGGGGGAAAAAAAATTGGAGGCTATCCTGTTCAGATGTTTTCCCATACTGCTTGGCCTGTTGAAGCACTTCTTAAGAGAGATTTAATGTCTTTACTTAAATGATGTCAGTAGCGCAGATAAGATAGCGCTGCTGCTAGCAATCATTGCATGACTTTGCTATTCATTACTATGAGTATATGATGTACAGACAAATCAGAAACATACTTGGAGTACTACCAGAATCAACGCTGGTGCCAGCCTGTCCTTCTGAGTCATCAGCTGCCTGTTGTTGGGTCTTGCTGGCAGCGTCTTCAGCTGCTCGCTGGCGTTTCTTCATTTCATCTTCTATCATCTGAAGACGTGACATCTCCAGTGCTATTACTAGATCCATGTTGTAGTCTGATGTTACATTCACATGGTAAACTGAAAATAATGAAAAATGGAAGAAAGATCTATGCAAAGGGATGGGTTAACAAATGGATCAGTTTACTGGCGAGACAAAATTCTACCTATGAGACATATATTGAGTATAGAAACCATACCATACCCTGACACCCCTGCAATTGCTCCAAACCAGTCTACTTACCATCATATAATGTGAAAGATGCACAGTATACTCTCCCTTAAATTAAATACTGTGACACGTACACCCATTGTTGGGCAATGATCATGAGATAAGCGATTATACAACAGCCATTACTGAGTAATGGCTTCGCAGCCTAGATGTTATAAGGACAGTTAGAACAATGAGACAGTTGTGAGACAGCTGCCAGCCAGTAAGAATGTGAGCATGAAAGCAGAGGACATCATTGGGATCTGTCACCAGGCAATGAAACAGCAGGATGAGAAGACCTAGTGTGTACTATAGTGATTTGTGAAGTGTAGTAACAAGTTGTATAAGTGTGCAATAAATCTAATTACCAAACCACACCCTGCCTATAGTCACTCATACACACGACAATATGTATACATGACATCATTAACTGCTCAACATGTGTGAAGAAATCAAGAAAGACTGAAGGTAGTGAACAGAGAGTGGGGGAAAAGCCCTACATAAGGGCTCGGAATAATGTCACCTAAGGTGGAACACAGAACTGTGAGAAAGCAGCACTGTTTTGGCAGATCACTGTGGAATGGAAGTGGAAAACAGAAAAGAGCCCTTTTGAGGGCCCAGGCAGAGGAGTGACATCTCAGAAGCAAGCGACTAGTACTTGAAGGCAACCTACTTTTGTCCTTCAGGTAGAGAATGGATGGCTTCCACAGACTTCTTGGGAGATGCCAATGGCACAATTCCCTGCCTCTTGTACCTACTGTTCCAGACTAAGCTCTGTCCCCGCCACCACATCCCACAAAGGTACATACTCTTACCACATCCCCACTTCAATCCGGAACCTTAAACACTCATACCCACTGCCAAAACTATTGTCTGCCAAAATTAAAGTCACACCCTACAAATTTTATGGTATTACTAGGTGGTTCAAATATGACCGGGACTGATTTTTTTGTAAACAAGCCGCACTGAGCAGCAGCTGTGTGACCTTGAGAGAGTGAAGCCACAACCTCCACCCTCCCTCCTGTTAGGGTTAGAACCTGTTCAGTCCTGTCTGGAAGTTGCTAGAGTGATGAGTGAACAGAAGGTACCGCTGAGCTTGGAACAACGCATTGTGATCAAATTCATCGTTGGAGAAAACATCCCGTCCGCTGAAATTCACCACAGACTCCAACAACAGTATGGGGAAGAGTGTCTCACATGGACCCATGTGTTTGAGTGGTGTAAGTGCTTCAGAAAGGGCAGAGAGCGTNACTGATGAAACGTGGGTACACTACTTCATTCCCGAGTCCCAACAGTCATCACGTGAGTGGCGGCATACCAGTTCTCTGAAACCCAAGAGAGCACGGAGGAGCCGTTCGGCAGAAAAAGTGATGGCAACGTTCTTCTGGGACTGGCAGGGGGTTATCCATGTAGACTTTCTGACAGATGCCAGAACAGTCAATGCAGCTTATTACTCAGACCTCCTTGCAACAGACGTGAAGGAAAAGATCCGATCCAAGCGGAAGACAGGTGGAAAGCGGGTAGCCTTCCTTCAAGACAATGTATGCCCCCATACGGCCAAAACAACAATGGAAACCCTTCGGAAATTTAAATGGAACCTTCTGACACATCCGCCGTACAGTCCCGATTTGGCCCCAAGTGATTTCTACTTGTTCGGAAGGCTCAAATCAGACTTGCAGGGCATGCGGTTTGTGGACGACACCGTCATCCAGACTGTTCGGGAGTGGATATGCCGCCAACGACAAGTCTTTTTTTGGGGGGCATCAGGATGCTTCCAGAAAGTTGGGAAAAATGTGTTGACTCTGGAGGGGAGTACATTGAAGACTGACATGTGCAAGTAAGCGTTTGGCAATTATGTTTTTTTTTAAATCAGTCCCGGTCATATTTGAACCACCTTGTAAAATAGGGAGGGGGATGGGATTTATGTACTTCCATCATTACATGCAACAATCGGAACGGCTCAGATTAAGCAAGCTTCATGTTACTCCATACACTTGCACGCACCACTTATGACATGCTAATTTCAATTTATGGGGATCAGAAGAGGTTTTAATAACGTCATAAAATTAGGTACAACACATTTCCAATAGGAATCAAGCAGTTGGTAACACTGGTCTGAATCAAGTTGGTAACAATTAACTATGAACGTTTACCACATCTAGACAACCCAGCAATGTGTCTTCTTCTTTAAGAACCACCTACAAGCTGCACCCTGAGTTTAAAGCCATCATTCTGGGGAAAACAGTATCACACACATTTGGGCAAATAAGATACATGCCGTCACAATGCAGAACAACATAATCTGAGCAAAACATCATACTCGTATGTGTAGTTTCCAGAGATTTCGTCTTGGAATTTTATCAAGTCTCATGTAGGTATATAGTGTACCAGCAGGACACAAACAAAGGATCATAACAAGTTCTGCGAAAAATAGATAATATCTTCATTGGCTGCATACTGTTCTATATTTCAGATATGTATAGGAATTAGGTTAATTGTCACACAACAAATATACTCGCTTTTAATGTTTGACAATTAGACTTTTACTCCTGCTACATGTTTTGATCATATAAAACCATCATCAGGCACTTAATATAGGGATATGTTTAGTTATTGAACTACCGATATGGATTCATACCAGTACAATGTGTTATATTATATAATAACAGATAAATTTGCCTCAAGTTGGTAAGTATTACCATTAAAATAGATGATACAAAATAAGATAAAATATAAAAATGAAATATACACCATTTGTCAAGATATATTAAAAAAAAGTAAAGCTATCCCTGTAACAGGCTGTGAAGGCCCATAGGGTTGTGAGATGTTGAGGGTCCCATATTATCTAGACAATCGGCTCGAAGATGGTGGTAAGGTTGTCAGCCTTACATGCTGGCCACACTTTACTCCCCAGGAAAATTATTTAATTAATTCCTGGTACTCATTTCTGTTAGAGGCTGAGTCGACCCCAGGGCCATAGTGCAGCTAGAGGGATTAGGTCAACTAAAAGAAATCCAATGACCTCATCGGGACTTGAACCTGCGACCTTCCAGCTTGTAGCATAGTGCCTCAACCTACTACGATGGTGTGCCCCCATCAAGATTAATTCTAAGGCTCCAATGCTACAGTGTATAATTGGATATGTTATGTCATTTGTAGATCTTTGTTATTAGAAGCTTTCTATGTGGTAAGCCCAGTTGTGGAGCCCAGAGACAAGTTCCTATGGTGTATGGGTTGTTAATGTGTGAAGTATTCGGTGTTAAAATTACACCAGCACCATCATTAATCAGTTCTACATTGAACCAATGTAAAGGTAGAACACATCGAACATATATATATATAAGGGGCAGTGAAATGAAAAAAGGGGTTACCACGCATAACTCACATGGCACGCAAGTTGGTAACACTGGAATTTGTTTACAGTATGAACATCTGGTGGGGTTTATGTGTGCTGGCATGGCATAAGAGATTCCGAGAGGGACGTGTGTCACTGCAAGATGATGTTTGCCCAGGACAGGCTCATTGTGTCATCAGTCCTGATGTTATTGATGCATTGGATGGTCATATCCGAGCAAACTGAAGGATCACTGTGGAGGAAATTAGTATACAGGAGGATGAGGTGGGCAGGGCAGGTAGCAGGAATGGGGGAGAGGAGGAATGCATACAGGATATTGGTGGGAAAGCCGGAAGGAAGGAGACCACTGGGAAGACTAAGTTGTAGGTCAGTGGATAATATTAAACTGGAACTCAGAGAGAGAGAGAGGATGGGATGGTATGGATTGGATTGATCTGGCTCTGGATAGGGACCAGTGGAGGGCTCTTGTGAACATGGTAATGAACTTTTGGGTTTCATAAAATGCTGGGAAGTTCTTGAGTAGCTGCACAATTGGCAGCTTCTCAAGAAGGGCGTAGTTCCATGAGTGATGATAAACTTTGCATTGAGTCCCTCTGCCCACAAGAAAAAAAACGCACAACAGAACGCTGCTATTGGATAGTACACTCCTCAAGCATGGTTGCCATTTTGATGACTGAAACCAGCTTCTGAACATGTGTGTGTGCATCTGCTACCTAGACTGTCATGAAGGTGAAGTGTGCTGCTACCTAGTGATACACATAGAAAACTTATTACATACATTACAGCTATTTTACTTCCATTTGTGACCTATTTACTAACTCTCTCTCATAACAGCCATATATTAATAATCACAGAATTTAGTGATCCATTTCTATGCATTATTTGAAATAGCACAGATTCCCATTATGTTAAATTTGCCACATACAATCTCAAATATTTACACTGCCATTGTAAATATGTAATAGAAGTCTCACGGATTTGTTCAGAGCATTGCTAGGCAACGGCTCAACAAACACACTTCCATGCACTTGCAATGACGTCCCACCCCAACAGTGCTTAGCTGTCACGTGACTTGTGCTTTCGGTGTGGTCTGCTGTAGAGCTGTTTTCTCTGTGTTGTCCATGCCACGGCTATATAACATGAGCCCACTTGTAGTTGAGAGAGTTTTTTGTTGAGTTCCAAGGTTCCAGGGTGACTGACCAAGAAATGTCAAGAAGACTTCATAGTGATGATGGATAATACTAGCGCATGAGTAATGGTGAGCTGTAAATTGCGTAAATGGGCGAGAGCGCTGTAGTAAGTGTGATTAAGAGAACTTGTAACTGAAGTGCCAATAAATCCAATCATTTGGGCTAGAACCTGTTATTTTTGTCAAGCGTAGCCCCATACACATGACAATATGTATGTGTGTTTATGACCTATCTCTACATAAACTTTCAGAGTTTTATCTTAGAAGTGGAATAGAAGGACAGACAGAATTCATATCACCTTAGAATTTTGCAATTTTAAGATCCCTCTACCAACCACACAATGCCCACTTCATATTTTGGAGATATCCAGCTCAGAACTCAGACTGGAATTTGGTTATCATGAAAGTGACTTGGTACTGGTTCCCCTGTTCCAGCATACTTCAGGGTAACAGCTCCTTATGGGTTATGACTCCTTCACCCAGTATGCTTCCCAGCTGATCAATCACTCTGTCATTTGACATTTGAATCAAGGATCAACATTATCCTACTATAATTTGATGCTGATGTGCTCAAAGGCAATAGTACTATAGCAAAGGTTTGAGTGTTGAAATGAGGGCAACACAGGAACATACCATCATCTTCTGCTCCTAGTCTTGCAGCACGGCTGCATCGCAAACTGCAGTAATCATGAATGGCTGAAGTCCGCGGATTGCGTGCTCTTGGACGACTGCATCCCACTCGACTACACTCTCCAAGCAAGCTGACTGCTAGTGCATGATTCACTTCAGTCTCCTGGAATGAAGGATCAACATTCACAAAAAAGAACACAAAGTAAGTTATTGTTCTAGATTTGTTTCTCCTTACATCAGTGACTATGAAGAGCACAGTTTTCTGAGATGTAATGCAGTGCAGTCTTGTAGATGTCCACCAAAGTCTCAGAGGAATGCAGTGCCTCCATATCCAGGGGTGAACAGTAAGGGCAAGGGCACACCAAGAAAACTGGCAATTGCAATGCAACTGCAATTTCCAAGATATATTATCAGACTTGAGTTGAACATGTGAAATGGAACTGAGCAGTGCAAACTGAGGAAACAGCAATGCGATTGTGATGCAACTCATGGAAGACTAATTCTCACAGTTGTGTTGCAGCACAGTTTCCTAGTGTCAAGCTGTTCCAACGTGCTTCTGTGATTCATTTGCTTCTTTAGATGGCACGAAACTTTGCTGACGCTGCTAATTTTGTTTTTGTGCAGTTAATTTGGCAAGAACCTGGTATATATGACAAATGCCACCGGGACTATGCTAGGTGCAGCAAAATAGATTTTGCTCAAGAAAGAATTTCTCATGAGATGATGGAGTCTGGATTCTGGTTAAGTTCTTTTGAAACAATATAAACATCTGAGTTCAAACTGTCATGGAAGAACAGATGCACCCAACGTTTTATTTTCCCTTGTCCCCTCTTGTTACACCATCTCAACCAAAACCACATTATGACAGGATCAGTATTATTATTTGACATTGCAGAGGTGCACAAAATTAAAAAATTCAATGATGTATTACATTGCATGAACACGCTCACTTGAGATGATGTGAGCAACTAATCAAACATAAGTTTCCTCAGTGTGCGCCTGTTACTCTGGAAACCTGTTGCATTCTTGAAATCAGTGACATTTCTTGGAAGTTGCCAGTTTCTTTGGTGTGCCCTCGCCCTAAGTCAAGAGAGAAACCACTGCATGGTGTTCATCCCAGAAGACAGTACTTTTTGAAGTTACTGTTGTCAGTCAAGTATAGATTTGTTGTACCTCTTCATCAGAGTCAAAGTCAGGCCAGTCATAGATGGCACTCAAGTTGGTGTGACGGCCTTGTGAATCTTTAACCCAAGGATTGTTTGGATCCAAGTCTCTCAGTGAGGCAGCAATGGCATGAGACATTTGTTCCTACAAAAAAAGAAAATGAAATTCAGTGTAACCTTGATATAATGAGTGTTTGAAACTCATAAAGATGATCGTTCTAACAGGTACTCATAATATACAAACAAAAGCTGAAATGTAACATCTTCATGTCCATCTCGTAGCTCCCAGTGCCACAAAACAGCATTAGGGTTAAAAAAGAATTCAGATACAAAAATAACAAAGAGTAAGTGGCGTTTTAGGTTCTCATGGTGATCGCTAGAAAGATACTGTAATCATGTAGAGCAGTTGTTATGCAACGACCACGAGATGGGCGGATATACCAGGGCTGTTTCTGGGCAACGGCTCAGTAAACATGTGCCTGTGGAAACGAATACACATGCAGCAATCAAAATATTGTTGGAAATGGACTTCTTGTTGGTCACTGCCAAGATAATTGGGGCAATGAAGTTGCTTCTATATAGAAGTCTGAAGAAAAGAGTCTGTGACAGTTACTTGCAAGAGTGCTCAGTTGAAAGTCCAGCTATGAAGAGAAGACTTTGTGTGTGATATTTGGAGTGTGTAATTCAGTGAGACTGTTACAGTTCCTGTGTTAAAATCCGTTACCAGGAAACGGCTAGCAGAGACTGTAACAGACTGAGGACACTAGACTGTGTGTGTCAGTGATCAGTATAGTGTAGTCATGAGTCATGAGCATATAAGTGGTCAATAAAGAGTCACAAATTCAAACCAAGTCTACAGTCACCCATACATGTGACATTATTATAATTGTTTTCTGGGATGTCATGACATTTCATATGGTGCATTGTTACTAATGTTGGAGGGATCTCCTGCCTCCATCTTCAGGGTATTCTGAACATGGATGCAGCAGGTTCCTCCAAAATGCTGGTAGTGATCTACCAGACTATATACATATGCTGTCACACTGCAAAAGACGAAGAATGATTCAAAATTCTTGATGTCTACAGCATTATTTGAACCAAGAAGTTTAAGATTCTTTCATGCTTACCTAATTTTTTGTAGTTGGAACTGATCGTTTACTAGGAGCCATCCCTTACAAGCAGACGTCTCACTGTATTTGACACACATCAGTAAGTCCCATCTACAATCTGCCCTTATGTCCAAACAACATTCCATTCATAACTTGCTACTTGTACATAGAAGAAGAAGAAGAAGAAGAAGAAATAAGAAGAAGAAGAAGAAGAAGAAGAAATAAGAAGAAAATAAATCTGTCAGATTTTGCTAAACTTGTCTGACAGACATAAGGCATTGAATGCCAAAGTCAATCTGATGCTTACATGCATATGCTATACTCTAACTGAAACATTGTATATACTATTAGCTTTCTCTGCTTTGAAATGGAACAAAGCCGACCTTCAGACAACTGAATATTGTCAATCTTTTTAGCATGAAATAATCAGATTTTGCCTTGATCACTGATTTATTAACAAGTACAACAGCAAACCTTTCCTGGCAGAACCACTTCAAGGGCACTGATTTCAAACCATAATTTTTGGCAGTCTTCATTGACTTCTGTACTACTGGTCTTAAAACACACAGAAGAGCTAAGTACATTCTCTGTTCTTAAAAATGGCGAAAAATGCTCAAGAAATCAGCCCATACTGTCATACTATTTCACTCTAAACAAGCAACTGATTTCAAGATTTGTGCTGAAGTTTCCATTTTGCTGCCAAATCCATTCACCAGCTAAGTGACAATAAACAAGACAGAGACTAATGGACTGAAGGGGAAATTCTGATGTCACAAGATAGACACTTCTTATAGCTTAAAATACAGAGGAGGCAATGCACTCACAGAATCCAGAATCTTGGCTTTCTTCTTATAGATATGGCAGGGAGACAGCAGTTGGGTTATGTCACCCTCACTCACAGTCAGATACAAATAGTTTCAGAAGGAAAACTGCAGGATCAGTCAATGTAAAAAGTTACGAGACTGATGATGTGGGAATTTATTAGCAGGGGCAGTAAGTATGTTTCACAGGAAGATTTCATTCAAATTAAATCACTTACTGACTTCCAGTTTCACTTGTATTTGATGGCAAATAGCAACTTGCAATTATCTGAGTTAAAGAAGTAAACAAGATGCGAAACCAGCAGGCATTTCAGGAATAAAAAGAGGGAGTATCTGAAAGACAAAACTGATGAGCTTATAATGAACAGTAAGAACAAGAACTTTAGAGACCTGTATAGAGGAATAAATTACTTTAACTCTTTGACTGGCGCGGGCGTGTTTTAACGCCTGGACGATGCCAGCCGTTCCCTGGCGTTGGCGTGTTTTAACGCTTTGACAATCTCGTCCCTTCTTTGCTCTCTTGGCACTCATCAACCAAAGACATATTTATGATAGTTTTTGTGCATGTTTGTAAAGAACCCTTGTAAACTTTGTGGGGGTCTATATTACTGTCAGAACCCTCTGAGAA